GGGGGGGGGGGGGGGGAGTGGTCGCTTGTATATGCGACTGTTTTGGACAGGTAGCGCATTGGAGCAGGTTAGATTGTAGTGCCATAGATCCTTACATGAAAAATGTGGCTGGGCTTTACATCTTTAGCATGAACTAATACGCCCTTGAACTATAAAGTTCTAGGATTTTTCTAAGTACATCACTCACCAACTTCCTTGAAAGCTCCAGCAGTTGGTGGACTTTGTACAGTTTCACATCATGTTTCCGAGTCAGAAGGAACAGCAAATGACAGGCATGAGGGAGCTAAAACAAAAGCATTTATGACTGTTAGCTAATGCATGCAGTTCATCTCTTCATGCTAAAATCTCTAAAAATGTCCACTGAAAGAATAGGACAGGTAACAGTTATCCAAAATACAAGACTTTACTGCTAACAAAAAGAAATGTTTTTAACCTGAAAAGTTTGTTTAAAAAAATAAGTAAAAATATAAAGCAATACAAATATAATATACGGGAATGAGAAAGGGAAAATAAGTTCATTAATCTCTGTCAGGAATAGGAATATCGCATAATTTAATGAGGGGAGAAAATGTCTTACTCTCAGCTCCCTCTCTTTCTCTCTCAACCTCCTCCCCCCCCCCCCCTCCACTCATGTATACATGAATGATGTCTGAAAAATGAAGGTGGTTGTTGACCACAGAAAAAAAAAAAAGAAGCAAAACAGAACAGTAAGAAGTTATGAGCAGAAGAGAGAGATAATATCGATTTTTACTCACCAACAAGTAAGAATTGACAAATGTGAAGATGATGTTGTACAGGTTATGAAGCTGATCAAATCCTTCCAAGTGGTCGAATATGAGGAGGAGCCAACGAAGGAGTATACTCTGAAACAAATCCAAAACAAGAAGTTACCCTGATGCACTCTCCAACTGCCAAGTCCAACATTGAACATAACATTAACATAGTGGAACTGGTGGACACAAAATGTAGGGACTGGGAAAACCCTTTTTGAGAGTGGAGTAAGTGTGACAATAAACCGCTCTGAACACAAGTAAAAAACGGTAAAGTTTTTGGGTTTTTTGTTTTAATGAGCGTTTTACAGTAGTTGCAACACAATTAGGTCATATAAAAGTGCTGAAGATCAGAGGTGTTACAAATAGAGTAACAAACACAAAAAAAGAAGGCAGAGAGATAAGGATGACAGATGTTTGATAAAAAAAAAAGTGGCAAACAGCCCACAGCACCCGCCAGACCTGCATGTGAGCCTCAACCAGATTGTCTGAAAATTTTACGCAACCCCCCCCCCCCCCAACCCCAAGAGCTTTTGTGGGTGTCATTTGTAAGGAAGGACTTCCGATATAACGAGCGACCACCCCAACAAACACAATAAAGAAGAGACCTAACCCTAACTCTACCCCTAGGCCTACCCCAAAAAAGAACCTGCAACAGGCCTCATGTAAAAAAGGCCAGCACAAGTCCCAAGTCCAAAATGAAAAATTTTTAAAAAATTAAAAACCACACTCCAAAACAAACAAGGAGCATAGGGTTTGATATAATAACACAATAGAATTGGAATATGAATTCTCCATATAGATCTAGTAACATAAATAAATCTAGATCTAAATCTTGTAGAACAAGTGAATAGCAATAGGCTTTGAACTAGAAATCTGCATCCGATTCCAAACAGAGGGACTCAGCTGAGTCTAGATCTAGATCTAGATATAATCTAGATAGATCTAGATGTAGATTCAAAATAAATAAATAATTCACGCACCTGATGAAATGCTTTTTACCAACATTAACATTACTGCACAACCTATGATAGGCTTTGACACAATAGACCTGGAATATGAATCCTCCATTGAGGTCTATAATCATTTAGATTTATATAAATCTAGATCTAGATTCTATTAGAACAAGTGAGTCGGACTTGAATGAATCCACACGTTCAGAACAATTGAATTAGTCAACAAACGAAATTCAAAATGGCCACTTGAGCCCGAAACTGAAAGTAGATAGTTTAGGTCGTCATCCTTTTTCGTATTCGCATTTCTACTCAGGTTCCGACAATTATGTTGGAAACGCTGACGTCGGAAATCGGCGGTCGGCACGAAGACGAAAGTACCCACAAAGCCGACGGGGGAAAAAGGGGGCGCTGGCAGTCACCAGGCCTCGCACTACGCACATTGACTGATACAGGTGGGCCTAGCGATAGCATCGGCCGGCTCGCGGGCCGGGTCGCGATTGTCGGATTTCAGACGATTGTCGGCAAACATGCAGGTCTACACCCGCATACGAAGAAGCAGTTAGGGAAAATTCCAGGTCACACATCACAGATACAGACATCAATAGAAAAACACACCAAAAAAAAAAAAAAGAATTAAAAGACATAAT